GGGATGTAATATAGTGGAGGAGAGATTCTTGACTGAGTACCGAACAGATGCTCTAGCTTGTAATTAGAGGGTGGCTGTGTTGCTAGGTGTGCCATCTTCTGGATGAGAACAAAAACAGAGATCTAATCATTTGTGGACGTTAAAGATCCTAATAGCACTTCTCAGAAGTGTGAAAATACTAGCTGCAATGTCCTGGCCAGATTACAGTCGGCCAGTTCTGTTCCACCTTCCTAAAATCCCTCCTGCAGTTCCAGTTGGCTATGATATTCTGCCTCACTTCTCATCCGGAACTGCTACGTAGCGTAGCATTGCTGTGCTCTTTTGAACAGCTGCTGGGGCTGCATTTCAGTGGTGGGCAAAGTGATCTATGTGGGGATAGTGCCTGCTCCTGCAAACCTTACTCACACGAGTAGGTCTATGCAAGGTTGGTTCATGGTTGTATAAAGCACTTTGAATTCCTGTGGGAGAAAAAGCACCATGGATGCTCTGATGAGGCTACTAAAGGATACAACCTCCTTTGAATATATGGGGATTTGTGTACAGTAATGTTAATGTGAACTGCACATAAATCCAGGTTTATTGAGATGAGCTATAACCCTGTTAACACGTCCCATTCATGGAATACAAAACCAGAGTCAAGAGCAAGCCATCTGACACTGAGCCAGGATAATCAGCCACTGCAATTCTGAGATTTCTTGCAGAGGAATTTTCCTTGGAGTTAATCAGATCAAATGCATCAAAACATCCTCCTGCGTGACCTACATAAAATGTAAAATTGATTCCTAAATCCTGCTTTCACAAACCACAGCATAAGCATAAATATCACAATGCATCCTTGGCTGAGTGGCTATATTGAGCAAAAAAATCTGGCTTGGATTTGTAACCGGAATAGCTTTTCCTTTTGCTCCTAGTTGCCTGGGGGTCTGTGGTTTGGGATACCTCAATACTGCCATGCTGCTGCAGTGGACTTGGTACTGGACCTAGGCGAAGCTTGTGATTGGTGTATCCAGGGAGCAGGCTTGTTTTTAAAACACAAACATCTGGAGGTCTGTGAGCTTGTTAGCTGAGCTCAGCAGTGGGGAGCTCATCATTAAAGTGGTACCAGCTGTGAAGGGTAAAAAAAAAAAAAGCCTTTCTTGGAGCCAAAAGGAACAAATATAATTGAAAAAGCAGAAACCTTTCATGAAACCCCTCTTGTTTTTAGAGAGCAACTCACCAGTTCTGCTAGCCAGATGGATGGAGAATCCCGCCCATTGAATTCCTCTCCTTCCTCTCCATAACCTTCCAGATGCAATCATTCTAGGTAGTGCTCTTTTGAGGGGCCCAAAATTCCTGTATATTGCACCGAGCCAAGACAGTGAAGCTATATTCGGCCCATTTCCTTTCTCATTGTGGGCATGGAAAAGCCCCAATTCAAAACTGCAGGAAGATCGCTCGGATGGGTCTTAATAGGTCTGTGCCACCTCTCACTTCTCTGTGCTGTGAACATGTGACAGCTGCATTTGAGAGCTGCAGTTGCCCAAAGCCACTAGCTCTTTTCTGCAAGTGACTAGATTGAGTGTGGCATTGTGAGTAATTCAGTTACTGCTGGAGGGGGGAGTTTCAATGACCTTGCACCCAGCTTCGTCTCACACCGTTTGCTGCCTCAGTTCATCCCCTTGAAATGGAATTAAATGAATCTGTGGCGAGGGAAAGTTGTGTTCAGTCTTGGGGTTTATCTCTTACAGATGTCTGTTTTTTACAGTTATAGCCGTCTGTGTTTAATCAAGGCATGCATCTGTGTGGGTTACCTCTAGCACCCTATCTGTAAAGACTTAATGTGTTTTCACCCTAGGGGCATGGGGAGGGGAGGAGAACCAAGCATTGCTTGACAGTCACTCCTCTGGCTGTATGAGGAACTACATTCATGGGATCTGAAAGGAAATGTGTCTGTTCCTTATTGGCTAGGCAGATGGCGGACCTTGAAAATGAGGTTGGAACGTGGGAGAATTCCCAGAATTCAGCAGTTTTGTGAAGAATCTGCCCCTTTCCTTCCTTGGGGGAGAAACTTATGATAGGGTTAACAACCCTGTAATACATGGATTCCAAGGCCATGAGGCCCCACTGTGATCCTCTCCTCTGCCCCCCTGTATGACACAGGCCAGAGAATGTCCCTGATATAAGTCTCATTTGAAGTAGGGCATATTTTTATGAAAAACGTCCAGTGACTTGTTTTCTGTAGGGTTCTGGATGCTGCTTCTTGCCCAGTGCTGTTGGCGCTGACTCCACATGATGTAGCGTTGCCAGGAGCTGTCTAATGCGGCACTGCGATTTATGGCTGTTGCCTAAAAAAAAGTCTTGTTTGTGTCTTATGCTCCCCCACTCAGCCACCTTCCCCCCCAACTAAATGCTGCACATTTCTGCCATGCTCCAGGAATGAATCTCACATTAATTTTTTTCTCTTTCCAGGAAACTACTTTGCAAGTCACTTTTTCATGGGAGGTGAGAAGTTTGATACCCCACATCCCGAGGGTTACCTCTTTGGGGAGAACATGGATTTAAACTTCCTGGGGAACAGACCCGTTCAGGCAAGTTCACATGTGCTGTTAATTTCACATCTGTATGTGTCTGTCAGTAGGAAACCCAGCTTTGATACTTACCCAGAAGGAGACTGAACATTTTCTTGGAGCTGGTGCACAGTACTAGGGGATCGGGATGTTCCATTTCTGGCTCTGCTAGTGACTTGCTGTGTGATCTTGGGCAGAGGTATACTGTGAGTGGGCATCTGGTATAATGCCCGCATCAGCATGGAGGATGCCATTTTGAGAACAAAATGGCATCCTCCATGTGGCAAAAGTGCCATCCTGCCACAATCCAGCCCCACTGCAGCACAGGTTTTGGGCAAATCACATAGCCTGTCTCTGCTTCTGTTTTCCAATTTGCAATATGGGGATAATGCCTACCTCTCAAGTGTCTGACAAGACTGTAAAGAGGTCTGAGATCCTGGCATGGACAGCAATATGGAATTGCAGAATGCTCTGTTTGGAGAGAGATTTTTTTCTTCTTGTGATTGCTTTGGTATGAACAGGAAGTAACAGTGCTGCATGGTTCAGTTTGTTACGGGTGACAGCTCCTGACTCTCAAATTTGGCATTTTATACAAGCTTCCAAGTCTTATGAACAGCCTTGATATGAATAGCCTAATTGCCATTAGTTCTTTTTCCCTTTAATGCAGACTGCTGAGCTGAGTAGTTCTGACCTGATCTGAGCACTGAGGATGAGACACTGATTCCCGTATAGTTACCTTGGAGTCACTTGTAAACCTGTTGCACTGCTATAACCTCCTGGATTCTCCTGCAGGGAGGTTTTAGACCTGGGGATAAATTCAGTGCAGGCTTTCAGCTAACTCCCTACTGCCAAAGACCCTGTCCAAGACCTTTTTTTTTTTTCCCTTTGTGTGCACCTCTGAGGCTATTAGTTCTGACTGGGAGAGAAAGTAAATTGGTCTCTCTTGCACAATGACAGTAGTCTTGGTCCTGGATTTCCCCGTGGGTCTTTTCCTCAGACTTTCTCCTTTTGAACAGGAGAAGAGCTCAGGTGGCCAAGCCTAGGCTGTAGTACTTAGGAACGTGTTATATTCCTTCTTATCAAACTAAGGATGGAGATTTATTTTAGACTAAACAAATACCAAACTTTCCAGGAGGGGAGTAGAAAGCACAAGCATGAAGAGGTGCCTCCTCCTGCCTGTGGCAGACAAGTTAACAGTAGATGTGCATGAGCTGTGAGGTATTTAAGAGATCGATGTCTGGTTGTGGTGAAAAGTGCTGCATTGGGACAGCATGGGCAGCTTCAGGACAGGCTCTGCACTGTGTCCTGCCAGTGTGCATACACTCTGCTGTGGGGACTGCTGCTGAGCTGGAGAGGACTGAGTAGTCTCTCTGGCCTATTCAGCTTGAGTCTCTCTACTGAGCCTGCCAGTGGGATTGCTGGTTAGTGCCAGCTGTGGTTGGTTGCAGCCCAGTGTTGACATAAGCATGATCTCGGACAGTGTGGATGTTTCTTGTATTAGATAGGCTGCATCTTGTTTAAAGTGTTAATTCTCAAGCTGGTGTATTAACAAAGCAACTCCTTGCCTCTCATTCTAGTTTCCCTATGTCACACCAGCCCCACATGAGCCTGTGAAGACGCTGAGAAGTTTGGTGAATATCCGCAAAGATTCTCTACGTCTTGTGAGGTACCTTTACTGACCGAACTGTTTGTTGCATTGAAGGCAAAGGGTGGGTCATACCTACATTTGATGGCCTTCTCTTCAGAGCACTAAGTGACAAGTCCTTATTCCAGTGACACTCCCAAGGGAGGTCAGAATATTCAGGGTTCACATGTGATTAGTGCTGTCCAGGGCTTTTCAGATAACTCCCATTAGTTATTTCCCTAGAGTCGGGTAATCAGCATTTCCAACCAGCACTTGGGGAGGCATCTTTCTCCAGAGGCTGAGTAGCGCAAACGCTGCCTTGTAGGAAGCTGTGACACTTGGGTTTCACTCAGGAACACTAAAACAAATGGAAAATATTAGTCATGTCACTAAACCTGCAGACAGATTTCTTTCTGAACTTTTGTGTTTGCAAAGCTAGAAGTTGGTTTTGGTGCAAGGCCCAGGCAAGGAGGACTGATTAGTTTTGAATAAAACTCTGCCTCAGATTTTTCTTGCTGGCTAAGACACAGTGTAGTCCCACTTGATCCACACGCTTTTAGGTGACTGTATCTCACACTTCTAGGGAAATAGATCATCCAGCCTAACGGGTCTGTATCTCACTGCTCTGCACCTAAATCAAATGCAGCGATAGCTAGAGTTTGGTCTGTGGATTAAACGTAGCTGTGGAGTGTCTTAGCAATCAGCCTGCAGCTGTACTTGTTTAATACAGGTGTAGAGCCTTGGGGTAGATCTAGGTCCCAGCATACAGTCTGAGCAGCCTGGCAGCTGCATGGAGCATTTCATACAGCCCCTAGAGTCTCTGTGCAGTTTGTCATTTTATGGAAATTTATGCATTCCTGGTAAATTGCCAATTTCAGGTCATGGATGGGCAAGGTTTGGGTGCCTTGGTATAAAGTGTATGGCAGTGTAGTTGTAGCTGCTGGGAGCTTAAATGTATTACTTTGCTAGACACTAACAATCGTGGACTGCACAGACACCAGATTTATGGCTTATTACAATAATCTGTAACCTACTAATCCCCTCTTTTTGTACTATGACCACCTTGAATGGTCATAAGAACATAAGATATATGCTAACTACTTATGCTAAACACTCTGTTCCACCTTGCATTTTGCTGTGACACTGGGAGTACCTTTCCCAGCCCTGAAGAAGAGCTCTGTGTGGCTTGAAAGTCTGTCTCTCTCACCACCAGGAGTTGGTCCAATAAAAGAATTTGTCTCACCCACCTTGTCTCTCTTGGTAGAAAAGGGATTAGATTAGCCAGAACTGCACTTGAAACTGATCAACCTTGTTTTTCTTTGAAAACTCTGATTTGTCTTTTTTAATGGTCAAAAACTCAAAGTGATGGTCTCAGAATGAGCTGGACAGGTGGAGAAGGAAGACGCGCCTGCTCAGATAGTGGGCCTTGGTAAACGTCCATGTTCTGAAGATCTCTTGGCTCTTCCACCCAAAGGATATGTGTGTCTCCATTGGAATAACACCTTAGTTTCTGCTTCCTCTGAAGCCAGGACTCGCTCTGTAAACAGTGTCTTAGTCCTCTAGGACAGTGCTTCTCAAAGTGGTGGTCTGCGGACCGGTGCCGGTCTGCGAGCCATCGGCTGCCGGTCCGCGGTGAGTTTCCTCATAAGATAATAATATGGCACTGGTCCCTGGCACATTGGGGAAAAAAAATTGCCGGTCTCCCACATTAGATAGCTTGAGAAGCACTGCTCTAGGAAGCATATGTTAGCAATGCACCAGCTCTCAGATATGCAGTCTTACATCTGTGAAAGGGCCTGCTGCTAGTACAGGAATTTGTAAGTGCTAATCTTAGCTCTGTCATTGGCCTGCTGATGGACAAGTCATCTCCCTGCTTTGTGACTTAGTTTCCCTGTTTGTCAAGTGGGGAGAATGAGATTGACCTGCCTTCCGGGGGAGTTGAGGCTGCATTGCTGTTTGTAAGGTGCTTAGTGGTGCCACAGCGATGAACCCACGTAGATGCAGGTGGTAGCACTACAGGTCTGTCTCATCTTACACTGGGGTTACGTTCCGCGATCAGCGCATAAAGCGAAAACCACGTATAGTCAAAATTACATTGAGTGTAATAGCGGGCGGAATAGCCCGCACTACAGGAACAGTATTTAAATTGTTATTTTTCTCTTTTTGTTTTGTTTTTGCTGACCACGTAAAGCTGAATTTGCGCATGTTAAATGCGTGTATGATGCCACAGACCTGTTGCTTTCACATGGCAGCCAGTCTTACTGGTCCTGGGTCAGCTCCAGAGCACGGTCAGCGCTGCGTTGTTTAATTTTCTCTTGAGATCAGTATGTTTAGGAGTTCTAGTGACCCAGATACTTAAGGAATTTTAACACTTAAGGGTTAGCAGCCTTTTTCACAAGGGAGCAGTCTCAGTTTGCATTGTGCTGCCTGTCCTGAGTGGAAGTTCGACCCCCTCTCTAGGAACATGCAAAACCCCCTCCCTGACCTCTCCAGCAAGGGTTTCTTTGTGATTGCAAACATGGAAAAACAGCCAGTTCATAGTTCTCTGGAGATTCTCCTCTTCTCTCCCTCCTGTCCCTGTAAAATGAGGCTGAATTTGGCTCACTTTTTGATGGAAGGTGAGAACTGACTGTAAAATTCCCACCAGCTCTTTGGCTTTCCCTGGCTCCGGATTGTTAGCTGGAGTCTCACCTGTCTAGAGGGCGAGGTGATTCTTCTAGATTGCAGTTCAGAGCTTTGGCGGAGGGTGTGAGGAAACTTCCACTCTGGCTCCCGGCCATGCTGTGACTGGTGAGCAAAGTTCAGTGTGTTGCCAATCCTGAAGTATTTATGGTGGTCACCTGAAGAAATTCCACACTCATGAATGTTCCCTCCTGAACCTCTGTGTCTTTGAGAACTTTTGTGAATTCCTGATTTTCTGCCAGGACCAGACTATGTTAACTTCAGAAGGGGCAGGGGTGGGCTCTCCTGTTGAATGTAACCGAGTAAGATGGCCTCACTTCCCTCCTGCCCTGCCACTTCATAAGCTGACAGTGAGTTCCTGGTAGGAACTCTGCCAGCTGCTGAGTCCCCACAGGAGATAGAACAGCTGCAAGCAAATTGTCACCATGCAAAGTCCTGGGAGTCAAATGGCTGAGGATGTTTTCTCCTCTTGGTGCTGTGAATAAGTTTGAAAGTAAGTCAGGAAGCCAGCGTAAGTCAGCAGCTCCTAACCTGGATGGCATCTCCAGTTCTTGGAGGGAGATTCAGAGTCCTGAGGACATTATGTGTGTGGAAAGAGGCCATTTCATGGTGGGATCTTGTTGCCCTCTGCCGCTGCTGCTTTCTTTGGACTTATCATAGAACTGGAAGGGACCTTGAGAGGTCATCTAGTCCAGTCCCCTGCACTCAAGGCAGGACTAAGTATTATCTCTAGACCATCCCTGACAGGTGTTTGTCCAACCTGCTCTTAAAAATCCCCAATGATGGAGATTCCACAACCTCCCTAGGCAATTTATTTCAGTGCTTAACCACTCTGACAGGAAGTTTTTCCTAATGTCCAACCTAAACCGCCCTTGCTGCAATTTAAGCCCATTGCTTCTTGTTCTATCCTCAGAGGTTAGGAAGAACAATTTTCCTCCCTTCTTCTTGTAACAATCTTTTATGTACTTGAAAACTATTATGTCCTCTCTCAATCTTCTCTTCTCCAGACTAAACAAACCCAATTTTTTTAAATCTTCCCCCATAGGTCATGTTTTCTACACCTTTAATCATTTTTGTTGCTCTTCTCTGGACTTTCTCCAATTTGTCCACATCTTGCCTGAGTTGTGGGGGCAAAGGGAGGCTGCATGGGAATGCTGGAAGAGGCAGGCAGTATACCGCTTGGGAGTCTGCCCAGAGCGATTTACCTGGCACTTGCTAGCAGCGAATAGTTGCTTGTTTGTAATTGAGGCCTGCACCTTTGGGCTGGTCTACACTGGCGGGGGGGATCGATCCAAGATATGCAACTTCAGCTACACAAATAGCGGAGCTAAAGTCGAAGTATCTTGGATTGAATTACCTGGGGTCCACACGGCGCAGGATCGACGGCCACAGCTCTCCCATCGACTGCGCTACCGCCGCTCGCTCTGGTGGAGTTCCGGAGTGGACGGTGAGCGCGTTCGGGGATCGATATATCGCATATTAACGAGACGCGATATATCGATCCCGGATAAATCGATTGCTACCCGCCGATACGGCGGGTAGTGAAGACATACCCTTTGTTGCATCACCCTACTTCTGTAACTTGGCTCCTGCTTTGTGGCCAGTTCATGCTGAGAACCGACAGGCCCAGGGATAGAAAGTAAAACTCCTGCTGTCCCCAAGAGAGAACTTCAAGGAAGAGAGACAAGCAGAGGAACCCATGTTGCAGTGGGTGCGTCTCAGATCAAAGCAGCCCTGGAATGTGTAGGTGCTCAGCAGAAAATCAACTGCCTATGCATCTCTCATTGACAGCACTGGGAGCTGCAGGGCTATTTCATCCCTGTGTGACTTCATTTAACTTGGCCCAGGTTGTTTTAGGGGCCACACAGTCCTGTTCTCTCCTTCCTTCGTCACGCATGGCATTTGCTTCTCTCACCTGTATCACTTCTGGAATCAGGTGGTAAGCTCCTTGGGGCAGGGATCAGAAGGGACCATTAGATCATCTAGATATCACAGGCCATATTACATTGCACCCAGTTCCCCCGTGTTGAGCCCAATAGCTTGTTTTTGACTAAAGCATCTTCCAAAAAGGCAGCCAGTCTGGATTTGAGGACATTAAGAGATGGATAACCCACTACTTCCTTTGGTCATTTGTTCCAATGGTTAATTACCCTCACTGGAGGAAAGATAGTTCAGTGGTTAGGGCACTGGCTAAGGATGTGGGGGACTCGGCTTCAATTACCTGCTCTGCGATGGTCTCCCTGTGTGGCCTGGGGCAAGCCTCCCAGTGCGACAGTTTCTGATCTGTAAAATGGGGATGATGTTTCTCCACCTCAAGGGGTTTTGTGAAACACATTGAGATCTGCTGATAAAAGAAGCTCTATAAGAAATAGACTTTATTATTGTTGTTAATACTGATAAATATTTGTGCCTTATTTCCAGTTTGAAATGGTCTGGCTTCAGCTTCCAATCATTGGTTCTTGTTCTGCCTTTCTCTGCTAGATTAGAGAGCCCTTTAGTACTCAATATTTTCTCCCTGTGAAGATACCTGTTCACTGTAATCAAGGCACGTCTCAATCTTTCTTATAAGCTAAACAGATTGAGCTTTTTAAGTCCCTTACTCTAAGGCACTTTCTTCAGCCTTTGAATCATTTTTGTGGCTCTTTTCTGCACCCTGTCCTATTTTCTCAACATCCTTTTTAAAATGTGGACCCCAGAACTGGATGTAGTATTCTAGTATCAGTCCTGCCAATGCCATGAAAACGCTCTTCACTCCTCAGTACTCCCTGTGTATCCATCCAAGGAAAATATTAGCCCTTTTTGCCACAGCATTGCACTAGGAGCTCATGTTCAGTTGCTTGTCCACTATAATCCCTAAATGCTGTTCATAATCACTGCTTTCCAGGATACAGTCCCCCTTCTGTAGGTCTGGCCTACATTCCTTGTTCCCAGGCATGTAACTTTTGCATTTGGCTGGATGAACATGTTTTGTTTGAATGGGCACAGTTTAATAAGCAATCCAAATGGCTCTGTATGACTGCCTTGTCCTCCATCATTATTTCGCATTATATCAATCTTTGTGTCATCTGCAAGTTTATCATCAGTAGATTTATATTTACTTCCAGAAATTTGATTAAAATTGTTGGCTAATATATGTTGGCTAGCATGTGTGCACGTGTGTGTGTGTGTACACACTAACATATATTATCTGCAACATATAAATATATTGGTATGCCTTGTGCACCATTACCGTTAAGCACAAATATTGCAACAGTGATCTAGCCTAAACTGGCCTATACCGTGCCTCCGCCAGTGATATTCCTGGCCAATGCCTGCCTGGTTGCCTATATGAAATGAGGTCTAGGTTTTGGTACATTTCCCACTGGAGAGGTGTCCCCATCACCATCCCCTTCCCCATCAAAATTGGTACTGATTTACCCCCCCCCCCCATGTCAGTGGTGGGTGGTGGCATGGAGACAGACCTCTCCTGAGCCTTTAGGGGGGGTTCTTCGAGCTCAGGGGCAGGCACACTGGCATGGGATGGTGCAGGGAAGCTTGCACTGCTGCTCTCTGTGTTGTACCTGTCTAGAGCAGTGGTTTTCAACCAGTGGTCTGCAGCCCCCTGGGGGTCCACAGACTGTCTAAGATTTCTAAAGTGGTCCGCACCTCCATTTGAAATTCTGTAGGGATCTGCAAGTGGGAAAAGGTTGAAAACTGCTGGTCTAGAGGTTTCTGCTTCCTTCAGTCTCCCAGGCTGTCGGTCTGCTTGAAATTCCGAAGTTACACTCGCGCTCGCTCGGAGAGGTTGCTGATCTGGCTATGCCTTGCCACGCTTACAGCCTTGAGCTTTGCCGTGAATTTATTCTCTTGAGTGGCACTGGTAACCACACTTAAACCAGGTCTTTATCTATTTGCATAATCGTGCAAACGCAACCTGGTCACGTTCTTCTTTGGCTGCCTTATGTAGGTCACAGCAGCCACGGTTTCAGAATGGCAGCTATTTCTTGCTTTTGTCCTTTTTAATCTAGCAAGTTGGAAAAGCTCTGGTGAAGAAGCCAGTTCCTGTTTTGACTTAGGTGAACCCTGGAGAAAGGTCTGTCATCTCCTGCTTGATTTGTGTGGAATATTCCAGATAGCTGTGCACTAAGGAAATAAAAATAAGGCTGTAACCATTCCCTGCATTGCTGGTTTAATTTGACTATTTTTAATCTTTATTTGGCAGCTTTTATATTAAATCGTCGATGCTTTAAAACCTCATACCTATTAAATGCCCGCTTAAGGTGGAATTTATGTTGGTGTTGTCCAGAGGAAGCAGCAGTTATTGATCTCACTGAATGAGGTCTAAATAGGTTCCCTTGGAGACATCCTGCTAAAGTTACATCTAGCTACATCTACTGTGTATTCCGGATAGCTTCATAAAGTGCTCTATATGGCCATTTGGGAGAGAAGATCTACAGGTGCTCTAGAGCCAGAAGGATTCTAGGCAAAAGCTCCTTTGTTATCCAGACCTTCCTGAATGGTTTGTCCACCTAATTTAACCAGCTGAGCCTCGATGTGCTACTGGTAGAATGTTAGAGGCTGGGCTTGGGCAGGAAGCTCAGTATCATTATAGGCATTTAAAAGGCAATCTGTTTAAAACTGATCCACAGAAATAACTTTTCTACAAGCACATAAATAACTAAGGCACTGTAATGGGGCGGGACTCACCACCTCGGTGCCTCCTGCTGGCTGTGCTGGGAATTAGCTCTTGGTTGCCGGTGAGCCTCCCTCTAGTAGCGTCTCACCGCCGTCACTTCTGCTCCACCTCTAAGACCTGCATTGCTCCCTGGATCGCAGCGTCCTCTTCTGGGCATGGCCCTCTGGCCGTGCCCAGCGCTTGAGGCCCCTGCAATGGCAAGGAACTAAGTGAGATAGACCCAGCTAATTCTGGCAAGTGACCTGCACCCCAAACTGCATAGGAGGGTGAAAAATGCCCCAAATCACTGCCAATCTCACCTAGGAGAATATCTTTCTTGACCCTCCATATGGCGATCAGTTAGACCCTGAGCATGTGAGCAACAGCCAGCCGTCTAAGCACGTGAGAGAGAGAATGCTCGGTGTCACCTCAGAGCCCAATGTCCCATCTCCAGCCATACTCATCGCTGATGAAGGAAGGAGATAATTAAAAAAAAAAAACAAAAAAAACCTACCCCAAATATGTTGTGGAGGGAATCCCTTTCTGACCACTGCAGGTGTCCAGCTGAAACCCTGAAGCATGGCCCTCAGAACATAAAGGTGGTGATGGAGTAGCATTTTAAATTACATACTTCTCTGATTTCCAAGTGCATCTTGTCCTTTCTGTATCTCTCTGTTAGGGCATGTCTACACTACAATCTTAAATTGATCTATGTTAGGTCAACTTACAGCCATCGCAGTAATTAATGTGATGGCTGACGTCCACGCTGCCCTCCCGTCGATGGTGCGTGTCCTCACTAGGAGCACTTCCACTGGCTGAAGAGGGGCAGTGTGGGGGACTGCGATCCAGGGCTCTCAGCTCTGCACTGCTTCCCACCGGGAGCCCAGCTGCCTGGCCAGGCCTTCTTACCTCCCTACTGAGAGTGGAGGGGAAGCTGCCCGGTGTGTTTCACCTCCAGCGGCGTGATCCATGCCCAGAGTCTGGTCAGCTGCCATGCTCCCAGCAGGGAATCGGGGAGCCCGGGTGGCAGCCTAAGCCAGGAGCCTGGGTGGCAGCCCAGCTTGGGGCGGAGACCCAGCAGCAGCCTAGCTGGGAGCTGGCTTTCTTATCAATGTCATGGCTCCAGCGGAGCCGTGAAATTGACAAGAATGACAGCCAACGGCAGTCGATGTAAGGAACAGTGTCACGCTGACGTAAGCCCTATGCCTCTTGTGGAGATGGAGTTATTATGTCGTGTACTAGGGCACTTACATTGGCGGAAACCAGGCTGTAGTGTGCATTGTCCATTGCGCAGATAACTTCATTTATAGTGCTTTCTCTTCTGTAGGATTGTGAATGTCACCTCCCAGGGACTGAATAGAGTGACACTGAGATCAGCTAACAGATGTCAATAGCAGGCATTTTGCAGATAGATAACCTCTGAATGAGATTCAGGTGCTTCTTAGGGCAGATCTCCTCCTCTTGGTTTAAATGCTCATCTCAGTGAGACTTGCGCTTCTTGGGGTTACTCCCAAGAACAGGTGACTTGGATGGGTTTAGGGGGGTATCTTGATCTGAGGCAGATAACAAGGAAATTTAGGCTGAATATCAGAAAAACCTTCCTGACAGTGAGCTCTGCCGGAACGGTGGAACTCTCTGCGGTGACATGGTGACCCATCGCTTGAGTCATTAAGACTGTACTGGACAAAACTTAACATACTCTAGAAACACTCTTACACTGGCCTCTGGGGATGAAGTAGGTGAGATAGTAAGTCTCTTCCATCTGTAACGTTTGTCCTGACTCTGGCTTTTTCTTGTAGGTATAAAGATGACCTAGACAGTCCTACTGAGGAGAACGGGAAGCAGAAAGTCCTGTACAGCCTAGAATTCACCTTTGATGCTGATGCCCGTGTTGCCATCACAATCTACTGCCAAGCTACAGAGGAATTCATCAGTGGCATGGCAGTGTAAGTCGTGGGAAAACAGATTTAAAGGGGCACTGGCGACTTACAGGTCACAAGTCTGTCTGAAATTTTTCTCCTGGTACAAGTAACACCTAAGGAGGCAGGAGAGAGCGCGAGGTTTCTCCTTTCCAGTTTGCTTGCTTTGTGCATTTGGCAGCTCTGTTAGTTGGTTGTGTGGGTTCTTCCATGCACATTTGGGAAAAGAAAACTAAAACCATACAGTTTGTCAGGGAGACACAAAGTGTAACTCCTGAAGGTGTAAACTCATGTTTTTAAATTGATTGACTAGATTTGAAGAGGATGTCCCTTTTCATTGGGACCCCTGGGTCAATGGAACTGATGCGGTGAGAATGAGCACCCTTCAAGGATCAGGAGAGGGAAAAATGTGTAAGGAATCAAGCTGCCTCTCCCCTACTTTTGTGATTAAATGACCATCTTATACAATTAATTATACTGAAGGGGCTCTCCTGTGTTTTATAGGCAGTATTGCCTGTTAGATGTTTCCCTCCAGGTGTCTACTCTAACATTTGTATGGTCGATGGGGGTGGTCAAAGTTCAACCAATGCAATTTTAGTGTGGCTTGTATTGTCAATATAATTCAGTCATGAAGACTCAAAGTCCGAGTATGCAATGCTTAATGTAGGTCAGCATATCTAGGCTGTGTCCAGTCAAGGCGGAGTTTCATATTTTTGGGCTGTTTTAGTCTCAAGGGACATGCTTCTGTGTTTAAAGACCTAGGGTGCTCTTTTTTTCCATGCAATTTAAGTACACATTTGGGGGCCTGTTGACTTACTACTGCAGGCCTCTGATGGCATGATTTTTAGACCCCTCTGTTTATAAATAGCTCAGGATCTTTTGTTGCTAACAGAAATCTGCAACCTGGAGAAGCTTCATGTAGAACTATAATTGATGACTGACATGTCTCTACAGTTAGCATTAAGGGCTTCTGCAATTGTGTTCTACATCATACTGGCTTTCAAAGGAAACTTGTGTAGTTTAAGATAAGTGATCTATTGATGATTAAAGTGAAAAAAAATCAAACAGAATTCATGTCAAAAGACTTGCTTTAGGCACAATATAAACATCCTGCTAATGATCAATGAATGTTATTTTTAGAAATGAGGCCAAAGGCTGAACATTCCCATCCAGATGTGAATTCCTCCAAACTTGGAGGGTGTCCAAAGTCAGGATTTTGATCAGGCTCCTCTCTAGTTTTGTTAAAGCCTGCAGCTGTCTTTACTCTTTGTGAAAAGTAATAAATTAGCTCCTCTTACAGAGCTTTGGCACCTCTTGGGAAGCTTTGAAAACGCAGCTCTTTAGCCCCAGTCTCTCCTGAGCAGTGCAGTGTATAGGCAGGCTCCTAGAAATCCTAACTGTTTCCAGGTTATGTTTTCGTAAGTCTTTAAAAATGTTTCCTGTGAATTTAGTGCTAGCAAAGGTCTTGGCTTGACACTCTTGGCACTTGAAGTCCTCTGTCCCTAAAACTGGTGCAACATGGCTAGGCAGCAGTGCCAGCTTCTCTCCTACTGCCCTGCAGAATATCCCTCGCCCTTGCTCTGGAAAGAGGACCATCTTTAGGGACTATGCCTTAATGTTGGGGTGGCATAGCTGTCCAGTGCGCAAGCCCTTAGACTGAAAGAGCACAGCTGGGTTCTGTTCCTGCCTTTCATTGATCCCTGAGCAAATCAACCATGCCTCAGTTTCCCCACCCATACAAGGAGGATAATGAGGGCTTATGACTGGTAGTGGTTACAGTTGCAACAGAAGCCGGTGGACTCTTCTGAAGCCAAGATCCTGTTTTCATGCAGATGTGGTAGGTAATAGGGATCTGGGGAAGAGAGCAGCAAATATAGACTTTATAAGCTGCTTTAATTCAACCCAGACTATTTTCCCATGTGATGGTGGTGGCGGCTCTGTAAGCACATCTTGGGGCTTGTGCAGCTGCCCGAAGTGGGTATCTCTGCTTCTCTGGATTTAGCATGCTGCTACTAAAAACCTTCTTTTAAAGCCCCGATTTTAGCTTTGCCAAGCAGTTCTGTAAGGGCAAACACTATAATTACTTTGATTTATTCTCTTCAAGTTCTGGTGGAAAAAACAACTCTGGGCTGCATTTTTAGAACACCTCAAAGTGGAGAGCTGCATTTTTAGCACACTAATTGGAGTGAACGATCACTGAGGGTACTTTATCTCCATTGGTTTGATGGTAACATCTAAACTGAAGGGTCAGTGTGTGCAACTGTTGTGTGTTTTAGAATCAATACCCCCCCCCCTTCAGACTGATATGCCCAGCGCTTCCGGGGGAGGAGCAGGATCTCTCTGAAAACCAAACTCACTTTTTCTTCTTAAGTGGAAGCCAATCTCTGAAGCAGGAGAGGCTTCCTCCAAAGGGGGCCAAGGCGAACGTGTTCTCTTAACCACCAGTCTGCAGTGTGCTCCTTGGAAGTTCTAAATGGCTGAAGCTCACTTCCCTGGCTGCTTTGCTGAAAGACCCACCCCACAATCCCTAATCACACTAACATGATGTTTGCTTCAGTCTCCTGCTTGGAGCATGGCCTGGCCTCTTAGAGACATTTTGCTGCATTTTGGAGGAGGGACTCTCAGGTCTTGGGGAGAGGCATCCTGTGCAGAGACCATTCATCCATGGACCACAACCCCCCATGGCCTGCTTATCCTACAGTTCTATCCAGAGCTAATAGGTCTCCTTCCCTTTGCTAAGAGAACTGGGGTCCATTTCACAGACAAAAGGAAATCTCCTCCTGGAATGGCTCAGCACTCCAATTGAAAAAGGAATGACATCAATACCATGGGAATCCATCTTGAAGACACAAGGAGGGGAGACTTGTCTCTTCTCTGTCTGAGACTTGTCTGTCTGTTTCATGGGACCAGCTGCGTTTTCTGGAATCTGTTAGGCTGGGGAAGATGGCATGTGTGTGTTGTATGAGCAGCCTGTGTGTTTCATTTGCATGATTAGTAGCTTTGAGATCCCTTCCCTCATCTGTCCAAAGCCTCACATCACACTGGCATGTCATGCTCTTTGTTAAAACAGGGTACCTAGGGATTTTCCAGCTGCAGGTGTCTTGCTGAATGTCCCAGAACCATTTCCTAACTGTGAGGTCTGAGGGTTCAGTAGTCCCCTAAGGGAAAGAGTTGGAGTCAGCCCCATGACTGGAGTCGCTTAAAACTAGCCATCTGGGCTGGACGTGCGCTTTAAGGACCAATTCTGTGCTGCCAAAGGTGACCTGATAGTCTTGGTTTCTAACTGCGTGAGGATATTGCTTGTGCAGAGCTTTTCCTCTCCATGTGCTTTAGAGACAAGAGATACTATTCCCTGGATTACTTATGCTGCACTGTTTTCTTGCAGGCACAATGAAGCACAGCTGATTTCATTGGAATGATTTATTACATTTCATTTCTATTAGTATTAGGTGTTGCAAAACCACCCCACCCAACCCAGTCTCTCTTAAACTGACAGCACATGTGACATGGGGTCACTTACCTGTTACACATTCTGTTTGCATGTGGGATTTTGAACTTAATTCCTTTTGATGGCGGTGAACCAGCTAATCAAATGTATGGCTTGGCCTACTGGCTGCATTCAGTTGAGTGTGTACAAAAAGGAGGCAGCAGTACTAGATGAGCCTCTTGTCACTTAATAGTCTCATGCTTATTAAGGGGGAGGGATAGCTCAGTGGTTTGAGCATTGGCCCACTAAACCCAAGGTTGTGAGTTCAATCCTTCAGGGGGCCATTTAGGGATTTGGGGCAAAAAAAATTGGTCCTGCTAGTGAAGGCAGGGGGCTGGACTTGATGACCTTTCAAGGTCCCTTCCAGTTCTAGGAGATGGGATATCTCCATTAATTAATTTATTTATTTATTTATTCATGGCCTGTGAAAGTCCTTTCTGCTATAGACACTCATGCTTAATTTGGCTTCTCTGTACAATCAAGGAGAAGGGTGTGAAGCAATCCAGGGCTGGGTATTTGCTGCTGGGCACAAGCCTACTCCTGTCTTTAAGGCCAAAGCCTGCTTTGAACCATACAGATAGCAGCCCCCAAAGAAATGCTGTAGTGCTTGGAACTCATATGCCATAAAACTAAGTTCCAGAGATTTCACTGCTCACAGGTAAATAAGAGTTTACCCCCCTCTTGCCTTACATGCTAGTGCAGCTGCAGAGAAACTGAGCAACTTGGGCATGCTGGTTAGAGTAAATATGAATGCAGCACCTCTTACACAGCAAGTCCAGCTAGCAAATCTAGATCAGCTACAGTCTTGGGATGGTGAAACCTGCCTGCCAAAGAGCAGATTTCACACACTCAGCAGGCCAGAGTTTCTCTGGGGCGGTGCGGAGAAGCTGTGTCTTTTCCTGGGAGAAAGGAGAGAGATGACATTGCACTATATGGCAACCTGCCACCAGGTCAGGAATGGACACACAAACGGACATGGGATCAAACCCCAAACACGGTGCGTGACCTGTCCTGCATGGGTCCTAACTGCTCTGACGGAGACCTGAGGGGTCTGACTTTTCATACTCAGCTGTTTAGCAACATTTGTCTAGCTTATTCTGCCAGTAACATCTCATTGAATTGAAGTGATGCCTATGCCTGACTTGTTACGCTTACGTCTGAAGGGGAAGTAAAGTTGACTGCAGATCCCTTTCCTAGGTGAAAGGAGAGGATGCAGTATGGGGGAGCGGGGTGTCAATTCCATGCCAACTCCTGGGACTCAGAACATCAGCAAAGCACTATTGGCTTTCCCAACTCTTGCCGCTCTCAGCATGAAAATCCACCAAGAACACCCAGACCAAAATGCAAGCTGCCTACACTCAGACTTGCAGATGGAACTCAAGTGCATCCCCAAAAGGCAGACCCATGCTCTTAAATTTTCTTCTGTGCTGCTTATTGTAAGGCAGGCTGCACACAGGCGGTACATACAGGCTTTTGAAGCAAGATAATTCTAAATGTGGGACTGGTGTGGAATGCTAACTACATTGGCTGACAGTCCACGTGGTGGTAGTTGTGCCCATCGATAAAATGTCTTCCTAGCTGCGATGATGAGAACGTCTGCCTTCTTGAGCAGGTCTTGTCTGAGGAGCTCCAAATGCTGTGCAAGCTACAATGAAGTACAGTCTTGTGGCTGGGGAAGGCTGTCTTCTCCCTCATCTCTTCTAGCAAGTCCTAAGAATTGTCTAGTGATTAGCTCAGGGGATGGGGACTGGAACTCGAGGCATTTGTGTTTCATTCCCAGTGCTTCTCCCAGTTGGATGTGACCTTGGGCAAGTCCCTTTCCTTCTCCACTTCAGTTTCCTCATCTGTATGATGGGGCCGTTAACACCTAGCCAGCAATTGAGTTGGTTCTTTGATGTCATTGATGGAAGGAGTCAGACAGGTACACAGTGTACTCGCTTTAGCTGATTTGACTGTACGGTAAGTAAAACCACACTCACCTGCGTGCCCTATAATTCACACACAAAGCAGCTGTCACTTCCCACCTCCCCACAGCACTTTAATAACAGAGGTTGCAGCAAGATCTCCTATTACTACAGCTGTGTTATTTTTATGCTGTACTGTTCTGAACATTTTTTAGTACATTGTAAAGTATTGTCATAAATCATTAAAATGAAACTACCCCAGCAAGAATGAACAAAGCACGTTTTAGTGCAGTCCCCTGGATTGTTTTTATTATTTGCCCACCTGTCAATTTGCAAAATCAGTCTTTTGCACCCCGTGCAAGTGAGTCCACTGACCGTCTAATTAGCCTGGCAAAATTCTACCAGCCAGGTCCTTAGCTGGTGTCAATGTCGTGGCAATGGATTTCCGGTGTAACTATGCCAGTGTACACCAACTGGGGAGGAGGTCCTGTATGCTCACTTGCCTGGGGCATGTAATTTTTGGCTCAGGCCGGCTGGGTAAGACATCCTCAGTTCTTTCTCCTCCAGACATTTATGCTGTGCTCATCACCAAGATAGCTGAGGCCAAACTGGGAGGCCTAAAATCAGAAGTTTAAACTCCTAAAATAGAAGTGGTCTCTTTTTCTCCAAGCTTCCTGCTCCCACTGGCTTGAGTGGGATTTGTAAGTGCTCAGCTTCTCTGACAATCGGCGACTAAATCCTAAGGACTTGATTGTGGATTTAGGAGCCTAACTTTAGGCCCCCCAGTTTGAAAGTAGTGGCCTGAGCGCGTAAGGGTAAGGGCAGATGAGCAGGCGCTTTCCCTGGGTTGGTGCTCTATAATGGTAGGTGTGCAGTGGTGCTCAAAACAGGCCGTGGATAGCTAACTATTGATCACGTGTGTCAGAACAGCATTAAATCTCTCGGCTATTAGGTGGGTGAGTGGTGTAGCTGTCCTGGAGCAGCTTGCTGTGGACTCCAAAGAGAACATCCCCTGCTTTAGACTGCCAACCAACAACTTGGAAATGGAACTGTCAGCTAGTTAAAAGTTCATCTAAGGAGCCAACCAACTGTACCATGCAACCATGGCAACAAAAGCATTACTATGGAGCTCTGGGAAGCTTTAAGCTCTGAATGCAAGACAGAAAACATGAGGGAGATGACTGCTGTTGTGTAAATATGTGGGAGCTGCATCGTGCTCCTGGCTGGAGCAGAGGCAGGGCACAGTAGGTGGTGGCGGCTGTTGTCGTGTTCTTTGGAGTCCTCGTGGGAGCTGTGCCTTACCATCTCTTTTCTGCACGCGCTGCGTTAGTTACCTTGGCCGAGTTGTATTTTGTGGAAGTTGCAAGTGTGCTTCCCAACCACAGCAGGCGCTTTAGTTCCTAACAGTCTGTGAGCTCCGCTTCTGTATCACAAAAGGGCTAATCAGATCCTTAATCCTTTTAAGATGCTGAATCCAGATCTCCTAGCCATATGTCTACTCCCTGACTTCCTCTTTCCTTGCACACTTTCCTCAGAGCCATGGTCTTGCCCTTCGCACACCTCTGCCCTTCTCTCATTCTCTTTCACCTCAGGAGCCTCGCCTCCCATTCTCCTTGCCTCCCTTGCTTGGTTTCTTTCCATCCCCTGCTCTTTGAGCAAGCACAAAGCCCCTGTTTCAAACCATTTGTTTTTACAGAGCCGCTGCTATTCCTCTCCCTTACAATGGAGGATACTGAGGATAACAGCCTATTACTATGGCTAACCAATGGAGTTACTCCTTTAACTCAAGTACATAAAGGTCTGGACTGTAGGTCCTGGGTTTGAACTCTGCTAAACACCCCTTTGCTTCCCCTGTGATTTGTAAGACATTACTTACACCCTGGACATGGTAAATAGTTGCACCAGGCGGAAATTTCCTTGGATGCTTACAGCCCTGCTGGAACTTCTAACTTGGGTTAGGGCAGAGAACCCAGCTGATTACAAGTGCAGAAGGCCTGGAGGGTGGCAGGTGACCCTATTGCTCCAGGTGATGCCTTGGTTTCAGAGTAAGACCCTATACAGTGAAAGAACTGTCACTCCACCGTAAGTGTGGAGGGAGAGTCGGCCAACACCCCTGGATCTGGTGTTGGTGCAACTGGTGGGGGATGTCCTTGAGCTAGTGGAGTCGTACTGCCCTTAGACCAAGGGTGCTTCTCTTGCAGGGAGGGAAGGGGGCATGGGGCTTGGAGACTTGGGTGTGGGAGGAGGATGTCAAATTTAGTTCCTGCTGCTTGGCCCAAATGCTGATCCAATGCTGAGCTGCCGCTGCTCTCTGTGTGCAGCCATTAGAGGGCACCAAATGCCATCTCGCAGGCGGGGCGCAGACAGCCTGTCAGCAAATGGGGGGAGGTGTGGAATGATTTATCACTATTAGATCACTGCTCAAGCTTTCAGCTGTGCGTGTGAGGGGAGGGGCCAGGCTTCCTCTTCAAAAGTATTGAGGAGACCCGAGCCTGCTAAACCACATGCCGGCAGTGCCCATACTCCAGATCTGTGGGGTCAGCCTTTGCTAGCCTGGGCCCCTTGTCTGCAGTGCTGTGTGCTGCCCTGTTGACTAATATTCTCAGCCAGGCCACTATGGAACTGATCAACTTGACTGCAGATCAGGGCTGTGTTCCTGTGCTGTTTCCCTCTCCTGAGCCCACTTTCCCTTCCTTTTTGTGTCCAGAGTGAATGACTGTCAGCCCCTGCCAGCGTCGCTTCTCAGAGCAGCCATTTGTGATTCCTGGGAGGCTGCAGGCATGAATGACTTTCTTAGAGTCCAGCACAGAGCAATCACTTGTTACACTGAGTTTTCTTTTTTGCCCCCTCTCCAGATACAGCACAAAGAATCCTTCTCTGCAGTCAGAGACGGTTCATTACAAGAGAGGGGTGAGCCAGCAATTCTCCCTGCCTTCCTTCAAGATTGATTTCTCAGACTGGAAGGACGATGAGGTAAATCTCTCCTTAGATTTCCCTCTTCTCCAAAACCCTATTGTTCCAGAAACACTGGGCTCTGTTTGTTTAACTTCCTGAGTTGTAGCTGGAAAATTATCAGTCACAGCTGCTGTGGCATGATCTGTCAGCGTGGGGTGAAGGGCCCTGGGAAAAATGGATCTGAAATATTCAGGACAACTGTTGGGTAGGTACATTAAGCCTCCTGCTCCTACCCCCCCCCCCCCCAAAAAAAAAAAACGGGCATGGGAAGGGGGCAGGTTGGACTGTCTGTCGAGATCTCAGATACCTGGAGTAGGATGGAACTTGTCTACAGCTCTCGGGGTGAATGATACTGGTGCCATCTCCAAAGGAAGCAGCTTGTTTTTCAGCCAGTCTTGATGTGATGCTCTCCCAACTGATCAGGGCACTGTGGGAGCTCAGGAACGTAAGTCCCCTTCAGAGAGGCGTTTATTGCCTAATAACATGTCTGGTTACACACAGCCTGCAGAAAAGTTGGTGTCCCCTTTCTGTAGCAAATGTATTAACCACATGATTGATAAGTAAACTTCTTTTTAAAGAGAGAGTTTCCAGGTACAATATTGTACCTTTTTTTTTTTTTTTTTTTTTTTTTACCCCCATCAAAGGAAGTCAGAATCGTCCAAGCAGGGTTGAATTTGATCGCTTTGAAAATAAATACTTATCTTCTCTAGAAAAAGAGTACAATTCTGAATTGTGTTCTGAGCTGTGAATTAGTCTACTTCTCATAATGTCCTACTGATGAATCAGTGTGTGTGTGTTTTTTCCTAGTTTGTGTCTGTTACAGAATATTGAGGGGGGGCATATGTATTCATAGATTCCAAGGTCAGAAGGGATGAAAGCCACTGCGATCATGTAGCCTGATCTCCTGTGTAACACAGGCCAGAAAACTGCCCCACAATTATTCCTATTTGAACTAGAGCAGGTATTTTAGAAAAGCATCCTCCAAATCTTGATTTAAAAATTGCCAGTGATGGAGAATTCACCACAGCCCCTTTGGAAAGATGATACAAAGGTAATTGAACCAATAAGGCATATCTGCGTTCATTCAAGGGTTTCAAAGAACTCAAGATCACCATGACTGAAACTGTGTTGGTTGGGAAAGTGAGCATTTATGTATAGCCTTCCATAAGCTTCCCTTTTCCTGGTATCTGATAGATAAGAAGATTCTTACAAGACAATGAAAGGGATTCTACCAAGTCTTGTGGGCCCAAAGCGTAAAGGGATATGTCACCTCCAAAATCATACTCTGTGTGACATGTTAGTTACAGTTATTACAAGTAATTTACCTACCTTCCTAGAACTGAGAGATTAGCGAGAAAAAATACTGGTATTTTTTCTGGGGTTCTTTGTATGTTTAACAGCACTTTTGGTATGTTCAATTTCACTGTTTCATCTGGTTTATCACCCTTAGGGTGAGGCTTTCATGTTTGCTGATTTAATTTCAAAATGATGGTGCACCTTACTACAGAGGAGGATTGTGAGGTCAGAGGTGACTGAGCCAGTCACTGCATTTCTTTTCTTTGGTTTCCATTTTTCCCAGCACTTGCCAATTAGGTAAATATTGGGTGGGATCTTTCTCAGTTTAAAATATTGTGTTTAGCATAACTGACGTTAACCACCCTTGGACGGTATAGTTGTCAAATTACTAAAATACTGATGGTGAATATCCCTCTAAACCTAGCTAGGGAGCTATAAGACTTCTCTGTTCATATAAATTGCCTGGTATTTTAATCATGCTGAAGTCTATCTCAGTTGCATTTGTGGCATTGAGATCAACATGTGAACTACACTCTGTACAAAATAGCATCTTCTCTGATTGGTTTTAAATTTGCCTCATTTCAGTTCCTAAGTTCCCTTTGTTTTTGTCTTTTGGGACAAGATTAATAGGCGCATCTGACTAGCTTCCTCGATAGCATTTTCTTTAGCTTATCCTCGGAACTTGTCACATATCACTAGCTATGGAAGGCTGGGTTTTCTTTAGCTAAGTACTTATCTCGCCTATGTGCTAGAGGAAGTGGTGGTGACCCAATAGTCCTTTGAGTCAGTAACATACCAGTGCCCCAGCACGGAATTGTGGGAAGCTGTGCTGCTAGAATTGTTGTCCTTGTTGATGGGCCATAATACCAAGGTCTTGGCCATTTGTGGTTAATGATGCTCTCTTCTTGTAAGAGTATTATGGGTGCTATTAATCCGGGTGTCTTGGCCACATTCCAACCAAGATAGGGACCTTCTCTAACCCTCACCCTACTGTCCAAGCTCACCTGGATATGATGATACTCTCTTCCTGTCCCAAACTGTTGTAATGCTGCAATGCATGGTTAAATCGGGGATTGGGGGGTAGAGAATAAAAAAACCTGTATATTTTGTGCAATCCCAGCAGAGGGAATATCCATTGGTAAAATACACCCCAACCATAGTTTCAAAACAAACCACAAGGCAATTACCAGCCTCTTCCCCATGATCCTCAGAAATCTGGGCTGCAGATGTTCTGGCTTCTCTGCCAATAGATGACCTCACAAGTACACCTATGATGGCCTGAAAGAACTGTCCCATTCTCAGCCCTGCTTTTCGTTCCCTTTGTCACTCACTCTGACGAAGGAAGCAGGATGCTGGCAGTCCAGACTCTCCTCAGCCTCTTAGAAAAGCAAATTTGTTCAAATCCTCTGTTAATGGCATTTCTGACCAGCCAGAGTTACTTGTAGTTGTGCAAACAGGTTTTTAACTCTTAGCAAAAGTTTTGCAGCTCATCTTTAAACAGCTGTGTGTCAGCAAAGGTGGAGGCGATCTGTGTATTGCGCATCTGTTGGTCAAGTCTTCAAAGCTCTTTGGAGTCAGAGGTACTATAGAAATGTAAGCTATAAACCCTCTTCCCATCCCCTCTTCAGACCAAATTCTGCTGATCCACTCTGCTGATCTGTTGCCTAATCAGCACTGCCGTCTGGCAGGTGTGCAACTGACTTCACTGGGAGCTCTGCTTGGGGAGCAAATGTAGAACAGGAAACATGGCTCAGAGGAGAGTTTCTGTGTGTGTGTGTCTATCTTTCCTTCCCCCCTCCATGCCCAATAACATGCATGTGGCTAGATCTTCCTAACTACTCTCTGAAATGCAACACTCCTATGTCTGACATCAAACTGCCGCTGTTCAGCTGTATACTCCTAAACCCTGTGGACTGCTTGCCAGCTTCACTGTTGGTTTGTCAGAATAAGATAGAGTTCATGCTTTTGCCTACTGTAATGCTTGTATATGACATAGCCCTTGACCAGATGACAGGATGGAAAGTGGTATTGCCTGAGGTGGTTGGTTGGATAAACTTTACTAAGTGCATGTTTTACTTTGTCTTTACAAATGTGTTGGTTCATTGGCAAGCTGTACTAAGAGGCTTTCATTGTCGAAAGACACTCTTCTACATATCCAAGAGTGAATGTGAAGTGCAGCCTTTGGGAGACTATACGTTCAGATGCGGCACAAATTCAGATTGTAAAGCAAAAGTAGTTCTGGCCTATGCTTTCTCCACCAAATGTGCAAAAACGTAGCTGTGCTCTTGCAATAGTAGATTGGAGCAGGAAGCAAAGCAGGAACCTAAGAGCTGCTTTCAGCAACACCGTAGTCAATTATCTTTAATGAGTTGAGAATGTTTGGAGCGAGACATGGTAGTTTGAAAACGGCTAGCTAGAGACGCAGCGTACCCCTGCAGAGGATCTCACAGTGTTTGAGGGTGAGCTGAGACAGGAAGTGGTTGCAGTCACAAGACCTTTAATAGCAACTGGTCTGAATTGATACACAGTAGTGTCATTATATAATTGAGAACTGAAAGTTTTTTCTAGGAAGCCTGTAGACTAAATATAGTTAAACAGTTCCTAGAACATTTGGCCTCTGTAATGATTAGACTGAAGCTAGGAACAAAAAGGTAGTAGATTCCCAATTTTCTATTTTCCCGCACACTCCACAAAGTAACTAAAGCCTGGTCTACACTGCAAAGTTAGGTCGATGCAAGACAGCTTACGTGGACCTAGTTGTGCATGTGTCTATTCTTAACTTTGTCTCCCACCAATGTAAGCGCCCCATTACACTGACACAATAACATCAGCGTCCCGAGCAGCGAAGAGCCATAGCCATTTACTTAGATCAATGCAGTGCGAGTGTAGATGCTGTGTTACTTATGTCGACCTTAACTGTCCTCCAGCAGCTGTCCCAAAATGCCCAACGCTGACTGCTTTCGTCACCAATGTTAACTCTGCTTGCAGAGACCGGATGTCCCGCCTGCCCCCCTTTAAAGCCCTGCAAATTTTTGAAATTCCTTTTCCTGATTGCCTGGCTTGGTGACCACACCTAGCAGCTCTCTATTGTTGATTGAAACTGCCCAGTTGACCATGCTGGCTGCACATTCCTGCCTGGAGTAGGCAGAAGATATTGGCACTTCTGGGCCTGTGGGGAGAAGAGGCTGTGTAGGCATAGCTCCGAATCAGCAGTAGAAACCTTGACATCTATGAGCAGATTGCTCAGGGGATGCAAGAGAAGGGTCATGACCAGGGACCAGCAGCAGTGCCGCATGAAAATCAAGGAACTGCAGCAGATGTACCAGAAAGCCAGGAAGGCCAACAATCAATCTGGTGCCGAGCCACAGACCTGCTGCTCTTACAAAGAGCTGTATGCCATCCTTGGTGGAGACCCCACTACCACTCCCAGCACCGTGGATATCTCTGAGGAGCCTGAGTCACAGGTCCCTGCCATGAACAGCAAGGAGGAGGTGGAAGAGGAGGAGGAGGGATATGGGAGACAGGTGACCAGGGGAATCCAGCTGCACAGTGAGGACCTAATTTTGATTCCACCGCAATCCAGCCAGTCCCGCCTGTTGATCCCGGGCAAGCCCATTGAAGGGAAAGGAGCCTTGGGTAAGTGTCTGTGGATAAATATTTAAATTACAGGGGTGGCATCCCCAAAGTAGCAGGACATTTTTATTAATTGACTCATGTAGAAG